ACATAAAGCAATAAATAGAGCAAAAGAAACAATGTTTTTTTTTTATTAAATTTTAATTATTTAATTAGTGGTAACCTAATCAAGATGTCTATGGCTCCGTTGTTCCGGGTCGTCTAATGCCCTAGTTTACTTAGTCCGAAAAGTGGTTGCCCACCAGGACCCGAAGATTCTTGTCAACATTCACAGAATGCATCGTCCAAGAAATCTTCATAAACTAAAACAAAAAAGGGTTTAAGTTGTGTTATGTGATCTTTGTGATTAAGATTTGATTAATTCTTGAATTACTTCATCAATTTTAGGGTTGAAATATTTTAGGTTGTTTACATCTTGTTGTCGGATTTTAAGTGTTTTATTTTAGTTATTTTTGTTCACTTGTTATTTCTTATGTGAAGCTGACGACTTCAAAGCTGACTTAACCTCAAAGTCATGCTTTAAAGCCTTGTTGTATTTGTTTTAGTTTAAGTTTAAGTTTTAATCTGTTTTCTGTAAATTTTACCCATCCCAATGTATTTTATTTTATTTCTTAATTGATGTTCAAGTTGAGGGGTTTAGGTTTGACTTAGGTTTAAGGTTTTACCTAAAAGGTTCTCCTGTGTTCAACCTATGGGTTAGGTTCTTAACATAAGGTTTAGGGTAGGTTTAGCTTAAAACTAAGCTATGATTCAAGTTTGTTTTACCTAAAGATTAGAGTTGAATTAGGGTTAACTAACCTAAGGTTTAGGTTAACTAATCCTATTGATTTAAGGTTAACTAACCTAGGGTTTAGGTTAACTAATCCTATTGGTTTAAGGTTAACTAATCTAGGGTTTAGGTTAACTAATCCTATTCATTTAGGGTTAATTAACATAAGGTGTTTACTGATCCTATTGGTTTAGGGTTAACTAACCTAGGGTTTAGGTTAACTAATCCTAGTGGTTTAGGTTAGCTAATTCTATTGGTTTAGGGTTAACTAACCTAAGGTTTAGGCTTAGCTAATCCTATTAGTTTAGGGTTAACTAACCTAAGGTTTATGTTAACTAATATTAGTGGTTAGGATCACTAATCCTAATGGTTTAGGTTAAGGCTGCCCTAAGATTAAGCTTTAGTTTAGGATGAACCTAATGTGTATGTTAAACTAAACTATAGTTCATGTTGACTAACCCTAATCTTCAAGAAGTTCAGTCTGAATTAAATGATAGGATGACTTAAATCTCAAGTTTAAAATGGCCCAACTATTCAAATTTGACTCAGTTAAAGGTTAAGTTTTCTTAGGCCAGACTCGGTCTAAATACTGACTGGCCTAAAGCCCTAAATGACTGAAATTGGACTTAATGGGTGATGGACTCAATCCTTAAGTTGGTTGACCAGGTCTGTAATCAGGTTGAACAGGACCTAAAGAGAATTTGCTAGATTAAACTTAAGTTGAGCTTGGGTTAGGTA